AATACGCAGGGGTGAGGTGCGTGGACGGACAGAAGTGCTGCAAACGTTCGATCTTTTTAGATTGAGTATTGTAAGTGGGAGTTTTTCAATGTGGAAAAATCCAAAAGCTGAGAGACGAGAGAAAACACGTCACTATTCAAGGAGCGCGCGGATGACGGATGCGAATTGCATGACTACGTGTCGACACCAAAAATCTCGAAGACTGGTTTTGTAAAAGCATGACATCATACGTTAATGGAGTCTTCTCACAGTTGTCAGGTGCCTGACGAATGAAGCCCAGAATTCTCCAAGATTTTTGGACCAGGGTCTTCATGACTTACCACTTTCCCATGCCTATGTTGATGATTTACTGGTATTAAGCCTTTCAGAAAAGGAACATTTGCAACACCTTCAAACGTCTTTTGAACGACATGTAAATATGGTATCATGATACCACTGATTGTGCACAATCAGTCCACAGAAATGTGAACTCCGAAATGTTTCCCTTCAGTTTTTCAGACAAGTTTTTAACGCTCAATGTATTAAGATAGTGTCCAGAGAAATAACAGCTATTAAAGAATTTTATATAACAGATTATTTTCGTAAATTACGCTGAATCGAGAAACCATGGAGTGGGGCCCAATTTCTTCCTGTCCCCAGAGGTGGGTTTTTTGCACATTTGTGGAGCTTGACCACATTCTGGGGGAAGATTATTGGAGCTCGTGCTCTGCAACCTTTTTGACTACACCAGGTTTTCCAGTTTGCCGGTGGCGATGCCAGGTGGTTTCCGACACTCTGGGCATGTATACCACATCCATTTACATGAGTACCTCCTCATAAAGCTATAGTACTGCCCTGGTAAGCCATTATCACGGTCACAGTGTACCCATCTAAGACATGTCGCACGCAGAGGCTTTCTGAACTTCTGATACCGATTCTTAGCAAACACCACAGTCGTCAGAGGTTTGCACTTTGTTGGCGACTGAGTGGTTTGCTTTCTGTAAGGTGATGTCAAACGTAGCGCATCTCCCCTATGCCTTATTTTTCGTCAACGGTATGATTAGGGACGTGCTACCGCCACCCTGACTACAAAGGTTTGCCAATTTTGACGAATGCTGTGCCTGGTGTGACGGTGCTATGGGGGTCTTAGACGGTGGGGGTGTTGCTGGGCCCATATTTTCTGAACCGACTAAATTCTGTCCGTTATACGATTAAGGGCTTGCGGTTCGGTATTTCGTACCATCGTAGTTGAGTGATTCAATGTACAAATAACGTAAATGAAGATGAAAATAAAGCGTAAACTAGATAGCTTGCCAACAGGAACATGATACTCATTTTCTCTCACTTTATCAACAACTTTGACCGAATGATCCAAGTGCGCATGTAAAGACCAAGAAAGGTATCTCTCGATGAATGGTCTCCGGAGAGAGCCAAAAACTATGGCAGTTGAACGGTCCAGACGACTACGAATTACCAGCAGGAAGTACTTCCGAGTTGAGAAGATAATTGCATCGTTGTACGTAGCGATTTTTGGGTCCAGTTGATTAACTGAATTGCATTCACTGTTACCATAAGGTTGACAGCTGTTTTTCGGTGATAAACACCGTAGTATTGTCCCTAGATTGGAGGTGAACAAAGCAGGACGTTATCCAAACCACGCGCTATGAGTCCACATCCAACTCCATTCTATATCCCACCACACTCCAAAAGTTATCCGAATTAAGTTGACAGTGAATACAATCCAGATCGTGCCCTACCGGTCAGACAACACAGAAACATGGCATCCGTATGCTGAAGTATATTCCTGGGAACGGGGAGTCGCAGACCCATATTCCCAATTTCTTGCTATTATTCGTTCATTACCACGGGAATTAAACCTGCACGTTATGATGGATATGTTTAGCCCTCAAGTAAGCAATGCCTATACACTGCTCGAAGCAGCACTTCCGAAGAAAAGTGACCTCACAAATCGCCGACGCTCAGGTGATTTGCTTCATAACATCGAGGTAGGGAGTAACTGGGCTAGTGGTGCGCTTGCATGCATGCGAGTTATTGGCCAAGAGATGTTGGGTAATGGCCCTTTCCAGAAACTATTTCGCTCGAAACCACTACAAGCGGTGTAAACCGTGTCAATGACACTTCGGTCGGTTGCAATCAGTGACCTGGCGGCCTGACCTGATAAAGTATCAGAGACCCCTGCCAGACTTGTCTCCAACGTGTATTAGGTCCACGAGAAATATGAGAGACAGGATTCAGAAGTGAAAGGAGCTGTACAACTCCGCTAAACAGCTTCTATGAACCCAAGACCCCAGTTTACTCAGTTCAATATAGAAAAGTGTTTCAGCCCACTGCAGCAACTCACATGATTGTCTAACAAACCTTGAGCATAATTTTGACGAAAATCGTCGACCTACTGAATATACTACTTCATACTTGACACTAGAAATTATTGGAAGAATCCTTCAGCTGGTCTTCCTCTATTGATTTTCAACTTTCTGAAACGTTCCACAGCAAAATCGTCCAGTTACCAACATCCTAGATGCAAACATGTACGAAAACCCAACTACAACAAATAACCTAAGGCTTCTGGATGGTCATAATGGCAGCGAAAATCTGGATAAACAACTATGTCTAAGAAATAAACTCACCTAGTGACTCAAAGTGGGACACGATCGCAGATAAACTTCTCCAGTACTTCACCTCATTCGGCTCCGTTTCATAGATAGAAGACAATTAACAGTCAACATACCTCCTTGATAATGCTGTATGCTTCAATATGAATTCTATATGCAAAACTCCATCACCATTGAATAATAGTCACTTAGATGTTTATTTCTTTGCACAGCAACAACTAATTCTGATGGATTACATCTATTGCTGAGTAAGGTTGCACTACGAGAGGGAAATGCGAGGACTTATATATTCACATGGATTATATGGTTATGCTAACACCTACTGTTATCTGAAATCGATAAAGTGAGTTTTCGTTAGTCAACAATACTATAAACATGTTAACTGATGTCAAAATAAATGTCTATCTGACGAAACACGGGACTGTACCTCCAGGTTGACCATCTAGGTCACATGTGACGCAAACGTCGAATACTGTACGATTTTAGTTTCACTTTATTGTGTAAAAAGAATGGTAAGTGGAGACAACCGAAACTCATAAACAATCTGACTGTACTATGAAGTGATATTTTTCTGTTCTTTTCATAACCTGTAGTCACTTTTCTGATCATGCTAAACCGTGATGCGATACCTGTATCATTCAGGATAGCTCAACTACTGAAGATTTCTTTACCATTTTCAGTTTGATGATGCCTGTAAACTGGCTTCTCTCATGTTAAACTCTTAGCTTGAGGATAAAATATTTATTATTTATTCAACAACTAAACCTTACCGGGTGGAAAATTGTAAACGGTGCTAGCTTCACAGTACCTGTGACGATGAAGCAAGAAGTTGTCGAAGACCATGAGCTTTCAATAAAGAACCAACTCGGGAAACTGCCCAGCCAGCAAGCGTTAACAGCAACTGTAACCCACAGAAAGAGCCGTTTGTTGTATATTACTGACTCAAAGACGAAAGTTAGCGCAGAAGTTGGCTTTTTACCTCCAGTGATGAGGGAACTTCATAATGTCCCATCTTCAGTCTTCAAGTAACTAGCGGCAAAGCGATCGCAACCTTTTGGAGAGGGTATACCTACCTCAGCTAGGGTTTACGGAAACCTATCA